CAAAAAACTCCCAATAAACAATATCCCTGGACCAGAAGATATCCCAGGTGAATTGTACGAAATACTCTGAGAAGAACTAACACCTCTCCTCAAACTATTTAAAAAATATCAAAATGAGGTATGCTCCCAAATTCATTTTACGAGGCCAGTGTTATCCTAATTCCAAAACCAGATAAAGACCCTGCAAAAAAAGAAAATTATAGGCCAATATCCCTAATGAACATAAACACTAAAATCCTCAACAAAATATTAAAAAAACAAATACATCAATGTATAAAAAAAATCACACACCATGATCAGTGGGGTTTATTCTGGGAATGCAAGATTGGTACATTTGCAAATCAACAAATGTGAATCACCACATAAACAAAATGAAAAATAAAAATCACATGATCCTATCAATAGATACAGAAAAAGCATTTGATAAAATCCAGCACCCATTCATGGTAAGAACTCTCAGCAACTAGAGACTAGAGAGAACATACCTAAACACAATAAAGACCACATATGACAAAACCACTGCCAGTATTATACTCAATGGGCAAAACTACAAGTGTTACCCTTAAGATTGGGAACAAGACAGGGACGTCCACTTTCATCTCTCTTCTTCAACATAGTATTGGAAATCTTAGTGACAGCTATCAGACAAAAAGAAAAAAGAAAAAGCATCCAAATTGGAATGTAAGAAGTAGAATTGTCTTCATCTGCAGATGACATGATACTGGACATAGAAAACCCCAAAGATTTCACCAAGAAACTACTAGAATAAATGAATTCAGCAAAGTAGCAGGATACAAACTTAATATTCAGAAATGAGTTGTATTTTTATATGCCAATAATGGACTAACAGAAAGGGAAATTAAGAAAACAATGCAATCCAATTAAAAATGGGCAAAGGATCTGAACAGACACTTCCAGAAAATGACATAGAGAAGGCCAAAAGTCACATAAAAAAAAAATGCTTATCACTAGCCATTAGAGAGACACAAATTAAAACCACCATGAGATACCATTTCACAGCAGTCAGAATGGCCATCATTAATAAATCAATAAACAAGTGCTGGTGAGGTGGTAGAGAAAAGGCAACCCTAGTACACTGTTGGTGGGAAATGCAGACTGGTGTGGCCACTGTGGAAAACAGTATGGAATTTCCTCAAAAAACTAAAGATGGAACTGCTTTTCAATCCAGCAATCTCACTTCTGGGACTACGCCCTCAGGATCCTGCAACACCAATTCAGAAGAACCTATGCACCCCAATGTTCATAGCAGCACAATTTACAATAGCCAAGTGCTAGAAAGAGCCTAAGTGCCCATCAGTAAATGAGTGGATCAAAAAACTGTGGTATATTTACACAATAAATACTACACAGCAAAAGGAAAGAATTCCTGTCCTTCATGACAGCATCAATGGAACTGGAGAGCATTATGTAAAATAAGCCAGGCAGTGAAAGACAAATACCATATGATCTTGCCTCTGAATAGAACCTAATCGACAAAACAAACAAATGGGCAAAATAGAACCAGCGACTTGGAAATAAAGAACAAACAGTGACCAGAGGGGAGGGAGGATGGGGTTGACAGGGGAAAAAAGGGGACAGGACAAGAAAAGGAACACGATCACCGGACTCATGGGCATGGACAGGGGTGTGGAGGGACTGACTGAGGGAGTGGTAGGGGCTGGGGTAGGGGTGAGCAGTTATAGAAAACTATAACTGAACAAGAATTAAAAAAATGGAAGAAAAAAAATCCTGTTCACAATTTCTTCAAAAAGAATAAAATACCTAGGAATAAACCTAACCAAGGCTATAAAAGACCTGTACTCGAAAAATTGTTAAGACACTGAAGAAAGAAATTCAAGAAGATACAAATAACTGGAAGCACATAGCATGTTCGTGGATAAGAAGGATTAACATCACTAAAATGTTCATACTACCCAAAGCAATCTACAGATTCAACACAACTCCTATCAAGATTCCAATGATGTATTTCACAGAACTAGAACAAATATTTCAGAAATGTACATGGAACCACAAAAGGACCTGCACAGCAACAGCGATCCAGAGAAAGAAAAACAAAGTTGGAGGAATCATGCTACCCAATATCAAACTGTACTATAAGGCCATAGTAATCAAAACAGCATGTTGCTGGCAAAAAAAAAAAAAAAAAAAGACACATAAATCAATAGAACAGAATAGAAAGCCCAGAAATAAACCCACACTTCTGTAGTCAATTAATATTCAACAGAGGAAGCAAGCACATACAATTGGCTAATGAGAGTATATTCAATAAAGGATGCTAGGAAAATTGAACAGATATATGCAGAAAAATGAAACGACCACTTTCTTATACCACACACAAGAATAAATTAAAATGGATTAAAAACTTAAATGTTAGACCCAAAACCTTAAAAATCATAGAAGAAAGCAGAGGCAGCAAAATATCGGGTATTATTCATAGCAATACAGATCTCTCTCCCCACGCAAAGAAAGCAAAAGAAAAAATAAACAAATGGAACTACATCAAACTAAAACATTTTGCACAGCAAAGGAAATCATTAACAACAGAAAAAGACAACTGCAGAATGAGAGAACATATTTGCCAATACATGTGATAAAGGGGTTAATATCCAAAATTTATAATGAAGTAACAAAACTCAACACCAATAAAACAAAGAACCCAATTAAAAAATGGGAAAAGGACCTGAACAGACACTTATCCAAAGGGGACATACAGATGGCCAACAGACATATGAAAAGATGCTCAAAGTCATTAATCATCAGGGAAATGCAGATTAAAACCACAATGAGATATCATTTCACACCTATCAAAATGGCTATCATCAATAAATCAACAAACAAGTCCTGGTGAGGATGTGGAGAAAGGGGAACCCTTTCACACTGTTGGTGGGAATGCAGATTGGTGCAGCTACTATCCAAAGTAGTATAGAGGTATCTCAAAGAATTAAAAATAGATCTGCCTTTTGAACCAGCAATCCCACTTCTGGGAAAATGAGGTCTGCCCAGAAGGTATCCAGCCATGTAATATGAAAAATAGAGACATTTATTGAAGAAGATGCAAGATACAAGAAACACTGTACGTAAGACAATGATGCCTCAGTCCTTTCAATACAGAAGCCTTAGGACCTCACACAGTTCTCCCAATTGCCATCAGCTGCCCTGTCAGATTCTCCTAAATCGCATCAACAGTCTGAAATCTATTCCCTTTCGAAGGTGAATTTAGTTTTGGGAAAAGCCAGAAGTCAAAGGACACCAAATCTGGACTGTAGAGGGAATGAATCACCTAGGTGATTTGATGTTTCGCCAAAAAACTCTGCATGAAACATGATGCATCAGCAGGTGTGTTGTCATGCCAATCCCCAGTTGCCCATATCTGTGGCCTTCTCAATCATCCAAATAGTTTCCATGGAGGAATGTTCAAGCTCAATGCAAAATCTAATGCAGAATTATTGCTCAGTCATTTTGAATGTGATGGCCACACATTATACATGCTCACTCAACAGCATCTACCACCCCCACTTGTGATCCCCCACAGTGAAGTCATCACTGTTTATGCATGCGCATTCCAGTCCACTCTCCTTGGCTGCCAGGTTACCTTGATGGTGCACAAACCATTCTAGTTATATTAACAATGGCTGGGCTTTTCCAGTCAGACCTTGTACATCCAAAGGAACCCAAAACACTAATTTGAAAGAACATAAGCACCCCTATGTTCGTTGCAGCATTATTTACAACCACCAAAATAAGGAAGTAGCCCAAGTGTCCATCAGTAGATGAGTGGATAAAACAACTACAGGACATTTACATAATGGAATACTATTTGGCTGTAAAAAAGAAGAAAATTTTAACCTTTTCGACAGTAGGGATGGACCTAGAGAACATTGTGCTAAGTGAAATACACCAGTCAGAGAAGGACAAATACTGTATGCCTTCACTGATATGTGTAATCTATTGAACAAACTAACAGACCTATAGATAGGGAACAGGATGACAGCTATTGCAGGGGGAAGGTTATAGGGTGGAGAGATTGAGCAAAAAGGAAAGAGGACTCATGGACATGGACAACAGTGTGGTTACTGCATTGGGGAGGTAGGGAGGTATAAGGGGATTAAATTGCAATGGAAAAAAAATACAGTAAGAAATTTAAGAAAAAATGAAATGGTGACATTTGAAGATATCACAATATGCAGAAATAAAAATATGAGGTGCTTCTGAATCTATCAAATCAAAATGAAAGCTTAACCATGCCAGTGCTTAAGATTTACATGTCCAAACAATTGTCTCTTATGCTACTACCATTCAGTTGACTGGACTACCATTCCAGTCCACTCTCCTTGGCTGCCAGGTTACATCGATGGTGCACTGGCATCAATAGTACATTCAAAGTGATCAATTAAGGCTCTCAAGAGAAAAAAGATATCTGCAGAGGAGTCATTCTTAATGCATAGATCATCTGGCAGCATGCCACAACACCAGCCCCAGCACACACTCACTTGACACATCTTGTCAGTTTCAGTCCAAATAGGAATAAATGTGAAGGACCACCAAGATCAGCTAAGGGCTACCAGCAACTGGTGTGGTACAACATAGCTCAGCAGAGAACCATCCTCCTAACAGGAGGTTGTGCAATACTTTGCAGATTTCTATCCAAATAACAAACTTAAGTAACCTTAACCAAACTTTATATTTTTTAGTGCATCCCAGAGGAAAAACAAAAAAGACAACAAACTGTACTTAAATCACTAATTAACTAAGAAAAATAATATTTTAAGGTTAAAAAAGGATAGGTAGAAGTAAAATAAGGATCCATCCAAAAAAAATTACTAGTATTGGGGGAAAAATACCTTGCATGTGAGTATCAAAGACATCCTGATCTGTATGACTACGAGGCAATGAATGATTAGCAGCTGACAACCTGCACATCAAATACCTTACTTGTTACCACAGAATCAGATTAAATGACTCTGGACAATGACTCTCACCTGTCCTTAGCAATAACAAACAGATCATCTTCATCGTCTTCCTCGAAGAGGCTGGTTTTTTTCACAGCCTCCTGGTTCTGGGTGGTCCTAGAGTCCCTAAGTTCTCCTTTAGACCTGTTGTCAGATGCTGAGTTGGTCTGTGAATCAGTAATATTCCACTGGTCCTTAAAATATAAAACATGTGTTAAAATCCAGTGACAATATAGTCTAAGGAACCTAGGAAGTAAAATAAAATTTACATTCATTAAGCTAAGTTGCATATAAACTAAATATTCCACTAAGTATATCACATCTGAAGAGAGCTCCTGTCCAAGACTTTTCTTTGAACTCACATCTAGACAGCTGAGTTCTTTGACTTCACAGACCTCCTCATGCCTTCATTCTCTACTATCTGCTTACAATGTTTCTCCTCTCTAAGATTCTATTCTGTATTAGGAAAAGGGAACTTATCTACTTTAGAGGATCAAAATTAATTAAAGAGAGGGATGAAAACAAAGAGGAAAATTAAAATATAATTCAAGAACTCTCAACTCTGGGGGAAAAAAATATAATTTTAAAAATCCCAAAGCAGGCTGAAAAAAAATGTGTACAAAGCTCATGCTATGCACATGTAAACACAACACAATAAAAGCTGCTAGTGACCCCTTTACTACAAAAATCTGAATCTGGGCTTAGCATTATAGGAAACCTCACCTGGCTATGTTCACCCCTTCAAATCAAGGAACTCAGGCACTTGCTTAAACGGTCCTTCAGTCTCTAGAGTCTAGAGCTTTACAAATCAAAGTAGGGTCCACAAGCCAATAGCATCTGTTACTTGGAATCTCGGGTTCTACCGCAGACTTTTCTGAGTCAGATTCTGCACTCATAACAGGATGCCCAGAGGATTTCTTCGCATACAATGGTTTGAGACATGCTCCTCTAGAGAAGCAACTACATGCTAGACTCCCTGAAAGAGCTTTAGAAAATTCCATACCTCCAAACCAATTAATTCAGAATCTCTAGCAGTGGAACCCAGTATAAGCGCTCTTTAAAAATTCTCCAGGTGATTTCAAAGTGAAGCTAATGTCGAGAATTACTGTATTAGGACATTAGTTATCTTCACTCTGCAAGTAATTTTGCTCCCATCCTCCATGAACCACTATGCTAAGAAAAACTCAACTGACGGCTGGCCATTACTACAGGGAAAATGACTAACAATGCAAAAAGAAGGAAAATAAAGGACAATCCATCATAAATTCATACATTTGAGTAGAGAAAGCAAATTATGCTGTGTCATTTTAGGTTGCTTTCAATAAAAACATTAACAACTTCTGTGTTCCTGTGAGAGGAGGGCTCCCTGCCACATGCACACTGGGCCTCCAAAGGGAAAGGCCAAGGTTTTGGTAAGGCCTTCTCCCCCAGGGCCTGACCTGACAGAGGTGGGAGTCGAATCTGTACACTGTCTCACTGCCTGTTTTTGTTTGTTTTTTTAAAAATATTTTATTGTTTATTCTCAGAGGGGAAAGGAAGGAGAAAAGAGAGGGATAGAAACATCAATGTGCGAGAGAAATATTGATCATTTGCCTTTCACACATCCTCTACTGGATACCTGGCTTACAACCCAGGCACGTGTCCTGACTATGAATCAAAATGGCGAGCATTTGGTCTGCAGGCTGGCACTCAATCCAACTGAGCCACAACAGCCAGGGTTCACTGCCTATTTCTAATGTTTTCCTTTCACTAAGGGTTTTAGTTTGGGTTTATTTTTGGTTGAGTTGGTACTAATCCTTAAGATGCTGTGAGAACCATTTCATCAAAATGCCAAATAAATTTGTGTTCTGGAAAAATAAAAATTAAAATTAAAAAAAATTAATATAGCTATGATTTATTTATCCACATCATACCTTCATAATTTGCCTATGTTAAAATAAAGAAGAGCAATTATTATAATAAAGGAAGATTTTTACTGCACAGGGTTTTTAATCTCATTATATTTAAAGTCTTTTTTTGTACAGCTAAATCTGATCAGTAGCTAAACCATATTTTACTACTGACTTTGCTAATGTTTCTAGATAGTAAATGTAAATATTGTTAAGACACTAATAAAAAAGGATATTCCTATCATGTCTAGATTCATGTTCTTGATTTTGTTATTATAGTGACATTTAACAAGATAAAATAAGTCTTAACTCATTTGAATTAGCATATATTATAATTTTAGGGTCATATTTATTTTATTCCTAACCATTTTTTAAAAGATTAACCTTTAACTTAATATACTATACTAAGTATCTTTCTTTAAGACAAAAATAGCTAGTCTCGTTAACATGGTCTTTAGTGACCAAACTTCACCAGACATAAAGTAGGTAGTAAAATAAAATGTTTATGATAGCTGTAACTCTTAAATCCAATCAATCAAACAATACCCTACTCTTTTCTAGGAAAGACTTTCAACCCACCTCCTCATCACTGCTGAACAATAAGGCAGATGCTTTCTTTTTGGAGGGCTCCGAGGGTTTTGCTTTCTCAAGGCTCTGAGTTGGTAGAGATGATATTTGCTTTTTAGCAGCTGTAGCCCCAAAAAGATTATCCTGGAAAGACAAGTGGCAGAAGAGTATGACAACTTTATACACATAAAACAAAAAACTTAAGACATTCTCTCATGTCAAATTGTTAGAGAGTAAATCTCTAGTCAGGTACAAAATATACGTAACACTTACGTGGGGAAAAATCACAAAATGTTAGTAAATCCCACTTCTCTCTCACATATAAGCCTACAACAGTCTAATATTCTCTAAGTGTATTCTCCTTCCACCAAAGGTAAACACCTCACAGAACTTGAAGGCAGAACACCTGGGAGGGAGCAATGAGTGCAGGGAAATATGGTGGGGCAGGCCTTCTGTGCTTCCTGGGAAGGCCACAGCCTGCAGCTGCCAGGAGAGCAGGCCAGCTCCCTGCACCTGTCTTTCTATGAATTACACTCTGCAGCCATGGATAAAGGAGGTGAAATATGGGGCTTTCGCTACTCTTTTACATTTCTGAAGGACACACACCTGGGACAAAGGGAAGAAATGACTTGTGTTTCTGGTTAATTTTAAAGAGATAATACAAACTTAAGAAATAGTTTACTAAATAAAATCACTGACCTACTAACAGCTGATTCTAATAGGTTCAAAGGCATTTTAAATTTTTGTATCATAAGCACTCCAGGGGTGCCTATTAAGGTAATTTTGTTTAGATAAGAATAACAAAACCATCAGAAGGCCTGAGCTGGCATTAGAAACACCATTAACAGTATACTACAGCAGGTGCAGAGTCCTAAAATGCAAGGATTTGATAAAGGGAGCCTTTAAAGAGTGTGGGGAGGCAGGAAAGGCCACAAGAATAAGGAACTGGTATCCAATGGGGATATAAATGACCAGAGCTAATGTTTACTAAGCACTTAGTACGTCCCAGGCACTGTGCCAAAGACTGTACATTATTGTTTGAGCTATCACATTCAGAAGGGTAGCGTTACTTGTCCAAGGTCCCCGATCTACAAGTGGCTGAGATAGGATATGCGCAAAGATGTCTGACATCAAAGCCCAGGGGCTCAACCACCACAAAGGACCACATAAGAATGAAAGTTTGCTATTTCTTCTCCCTTATTTCCTCCCCAACTTTGCTCTCTCATCCAGGGTGGGAAAGAAAGGCAAGGTGAGGACATGGATGCCTTCTCCTCTTGCTCCCCCTTTATCCAAGGCATTCTTGAAAATCATTGTGTATAACACAGACTCATCCTCTAAAAAGTATTTCTTAAAGGCAGAGTTTTAAAGTGAAATCTGCAAAGCCTTCCATAAGAGTTGGGTTGAGGATCTAATGTCCTACCCATTGTATAGCTAAGGGAACTTAAGAAAGGAGTCACCGAAATAAAAACTAAAATATTTTTGTTGTGTAGACCTCAGTCAAATGGCTGGACTGGTTCCATATCACCTTATTCTGTTGATTGAGCCCCTGACTATAAAACTACATCAACAACAGTTTTCTACTAATCAAAAACTTGATTATCTTGTGTTGCAATAACAATGTTTACCTCTTCATCTTCATCATCAAAAAGCAAGGCTGACGTGGGGAGTCTGGTAGGCAGGACAGATGCATCTTTTGACTTACTCACATTTTGAGAAGAAAACAAATCCTGTTGGATGAAGATTAAAGTCCCTAGTAAACAAGATACATCAGTTTTTAAAGTATCAGAAATAAAACACTGAAGACTATGACATGATGACTGCAATGCATCTGGGTCTCTTTGTCAAAGACAGAAGCTTGCTGAGGTCATCCTTGAGGAACCCGCATCAGTCTCTGTTAGCTGTGTGCAGTATGAATGTCTGTGAGAAGGGAGAGACCACAGCTAAATCCAGGTGGCCTTACAGGAACCTGGAGGTTTGGACATTCCCGCTTTGCTCTGTCTTAGCATCCCACATGGATGATTTAAGGGAAATTTTCCAATCAATCTCCTATCATGGTAAAAAAAGAATGACTTCCTTTTTCTGTCCAAAAAATCAGTGGGATTAAACAGATTCTATAATGGAACCAAAAGCCTGCTTCTCAAATTACTGGATCTATCTCTTTTTTATTTAGTTACAAATAAAGAGTATAATATTTGTTACTTATAAGAGTATATTATTTCTTTTAAATAAATAAAAATTCAGTTTTTATTTTAAATGTTTGGTATTTTACTTGAACTATTGCACTCGGAGATGTTGCAAACTATTTAAAAATCTGGTAGAGTCTGAAGAAATTTTCAAAATGCTACAAAATGTTAGCCTATAATGCAAACAAAAAGCTGCAAACTGAGCTGCATGAATTAGCAAAAAAATAGTTGTATGAATTTAACATAAAACAGAACTACTGTTTCTTCTGGAAGAAACTTCATACACAAGAGCCAGACAATTAAATTGGACCAGAACATAGTTTCTAAGACTTTTCTGAATAATTTTTATTATGGAATCAATGTTTATTCCTCAAATAAAGACCTAAGTCCAGCGGTTTTTGCCTGAGACTCATGGAGTCCCATGGGTCTGTTCAGGTAGAGGAGGTCACACAGGAAGCTCCAGGCTTCCTGTGCCTCTCCTACATTTTACACATTGGCAAAATGTCACTTAAAGACTTAAAGAAAAGGTTCTGTTGCTTTAAAAACAAGTAAGTAAACCAAAACAAATTTCCACGTCATGGATTTGGACCCTTGACTAACATCTTCCTTGGTGCTGAAAAAAAATGGCTTTTCCATTACTTCAAACATGTCCCCAGAATGATTTCATATGGCAAGCTTTAGTTCCGCAGTTCAGATATAGAGATAGGAATAAAGAATCTATCCTTCTGGTCCAAAGCTTTATCTTCTAGACTGTTCTACTTCTCCATGCCTAAGCACCCTGACAGTATCCAATAAAAACAATCTATGATGAAGCACATGAAACAAAGTGTTCAGTGGTGGTTTCAAAAACCTGTCTGAAAATTCTTTTATGCTCCTACCATCAATAAGTGGAATCTGTGTCCCTTACCCTTGAACCTGGGTAGGCCTTTGTGATTGCCTCAACCAAAAGAATGCAGCAGAAGTGACAATGCCAACTTCCAAAATAAGTGTACCCAAAGTAATACAGCCTCTGCGCAGCTCTTGGGAATCTCACTTGGAAGCTCTAGGCCACCATGTAAGACCAGTCTCTCAGAGGTTGACATGCTGGGAGAGCACACAGAGACAGTGAGAGAGAGGTGTCAGTGCCCCAGCTATCTGAGTCTTTACCACCCAGGCACCAGAAACATGAGTGAAGTGATTCTCAGCCCAGCTACTTTCACACTAGGAACTACACATGAGACCCTAAATAAAGAGTACCTGGCTGAGCCCGGTCAACTTCTAGTATCATAAAATGTAATTAAACATATTCATGTTTTAGGTCACTAAATTTTGGAGTGATTTATTTTACAGCAGTAAGTAACACCTTTGAAATCACTAAAATTGCTCACATTCTGAGCAATTTGCCTTTTTCAAGTAGTTGCCAACTACTTGATGGCTAACCAAGTGCCAATAACAAGTGCAGGTATTATGGATAAGAGCAAGGAACAAAACACCCTACCCTCACTGAACCTTCCTAGTTGGGACAGAGCCAATGAACAAGTGGACCTGAAATGTCACCGATGATACATACTGTAGAGAAGTATACAACAGAAGGGTGTGAGCTGGTGAGCTTAAGTTATGCAAAGGGGAGTGAGGATATACCTACAGAAAACTGGAAAAAGTAAGAAACCAAGCCTTCTGAATTCTGGGAAGAGCATTCCCAGAAGGGCAAGAGCTGGTGCAAAGACCTCAAAGAGGGGAACTCAGGGTAAGATCAGAATGTGAGGCTCCATCATGTTGTGCCCATATGTCAGGATTTTGGTTGATTCCTATCTTTTGTACACTGGACATCAATAAAATATAAGCCTCCAAGATTTTATTTATATCTATGGTAAATCGCTCTACTTACAAAGAATTATATGTTCATCCTGACTGTTAATGAGAAGTAATCACTAGAGTTTGGCTCAAACTTCACAGAATGAAATTACATGTAAACTGCTGCCCTGCTTACATAATTTTCTGTGAAGGGGACTGACTGCTGTCCATTACAATATTATACTGGTCTCGGATGCCCTAAAAGCCTGGCCTATAATGAGTTCCCAAAGGACCTAGGCCTGTGGGAATCAGAAAAAGTAGTGCCACTTCTGAGAACTGGTGCTACTCCACTGAAAAAATGTCTCCAGACAGGTGCCTGAAGGACTGAGGCTGTCTATAAACCATTGCCAGCCACAAACTGTTACCAGTCTCAAGATAAAAACCTGTGTCAGAATACTTGTCACTTCATCAATAAGCCCGGTTTTTAGTGAGACTACCAAAAACGTAAGTAGTGTGTAAATTTCCATTCTAGTACAGGTACCTAACTGCATTAAAAATCAACACATAGTCTAAAATTTGAGCATCCTGAAAACAGAGTATTTTTCTCCCAGAAAATGCATTAGACTGAAACCCAAGAGTGAACATTATTGTACACATATTGCTTTCTAAAGACCATGTGTTTATAAGAGATTATTTTCAAAGAACTAAAGAACATAATAAAAAATCTTGAACCTCTACTTAGAAAATCCTGATTCAGAAATAGTTTCTAATGCTATATACACTAATACCCCAAACTAAAAAAAAGAATTCCTTACCTCGGTGTCTTCCTCATCTGAAAATAAACGTTTCTGAGTCTTTCTTTCTGGTAAGAGCTTAAGATTTTTGCTCGAAGGCAGGGTGACCTTTGTTGGAAAAAAATGGAGAGTTAACAAACAAACAAGATACCTGGAAATGAGAGTTATTCAATCATTCATTCAAAAAATGTACTGAGTCTCTGCAGCAATAAGGCACCAAACCACATGCCAGGGGAATAAAGACGTCATGGACCTTGGACATATATCAAGCTCACTCAAAGAATTAACTCAAAATGGAAGCACCGTAAGAAAGAATTTCAAAATTGGTATAAGGTAGGTAGGAAAGAGGAAAGAAGCAGTTCCTTGATAAAGTAAATTTCTCAGGACAGACAAGGCCTAGGCATGGGAGATGGTATAGCAAGGACATTCCAGGCAGAGAGAAATGTGTAAGGAGCCAAAAGCAAGAGAAAAGCAGCAGGCACATCTGGTGGATCAGAAACTAGGACAGGCTGCCTACCTCATAAGTACCTAAATGAGATGTGTACAGCTGGAGCCAGTATAGGAAGGGAGGCTTCCCTAGGAGCCTGCCAGGTTCTGAATGCTAGGACCTAGGTGGTCAGCATCAGGAAGGTCAGGGTTTTGAGAAGACGTATGACATGAGATATGCTTTAGAAATATCAAGGTGTGCAAGACAACAAAGGGAAGAGAAAGCAGCCAGAAAAGCTTAAAGATTGAGAAGGACACATCCCACTGGCCAAATACAGGTCAAAAATATCCATGAGCATCAAAAAAAAAAAAATAATGCTCATGGATTATAGTACATTAACAGAAAATCTATGATCCTGTAGTGATATTAAAAAAGCAGGAAGAGAAAAAGCTCTTCTGTTCAGAAGAATGCCCGCTAACAAACATGGAAGACATGCAAGAATTAGAAAAACATTATTTTGCATCCCCCAACACAGTAACTGGTTCAGGTAAAGATCATCAATGGATGTTACAACAATTGCATATGGCAAAATCCTAACTATAACTAAATCTTGGTGGTAGTTCTTTAGGTGTCTGTTGTCCTCTTTTTCCCCAACTTTCTTTGTGTCTGAGGTTCTTCACTCTACGCTTGGAAGTTCCATATCAACACTTCTATGTTCAGTCTTCCCTCCTGCTCACCTTTTTTTCTGCTCTTGCTGTATTTTCATCTGTCTGATTCACAGTAGCTTCTGGCAAAGCCACTGCTTTTTCTTTGAACAGATCTCCTTCCTCATCATCAAAGATGTTGGCAGGGGATTTGACTTTGTCTTTAAAAAGATACCACAGCACAAAATTATATTAAGATAAAAAAAAAATCCCACCATAGAATTCACAGATTAAAAATTCTTCCCTCCAAAAGAATAAACTATAAAGTATGTTATTTCTTGATTAGTTATAAAGAAATATTAAATGGACTAGATTAGAATTTTTCAAAGAACACAACAGCAGCTAAAATGAAACACAAGACAGGTAAGGTTTAATGATCTGGTTTACATATTTATCCAAGCAATAGCATTCCATGCCTAGAGTGGCTTGGACTGACATAAAAGGTACAGATAGACCTACAGAAAGAAAGATCATTTAAGAATCAATCACTCTAGGAAGCTGAAAAATGAGGATCAGCTCTCGCTTTTAAAAAATCAAATTAGCCCTAGCTGGTGTGGCTCAGTGGATTGAGCGCTGGCCTGTGAACCAAAGGGTTGCAAGTTCAATTCCCAGTGTAGGGGCACATGTCTGGATTGCAGGCCAGATCCCCAGCAGAGGGTGCGTGAAATGCAAACACACATTGATGTTTCTCTCCCTCTCTTTCTCCCTCTCTTCCCTCTCTAAAAATAAATCAATAAAATATTAAAACATCAAATTATACAAAACCATACAAAGCAAACACTGAAATTTCCCCCCTAACTCCACCTCCCCACCCAAATGAGATGGCCACTGGAACAGTTTGGTATACATGCTTCTAATTCTCCCAAAGGATATGCTAATTATTAATGTTAGTCATTCACAAATAAGGCATTAAATGTAATTTGAACAATGAATGTTACAATTTGCATTTTTCATTTAATATACCTTGGGTATCTTGTCATATCAATATACATAGACCTCATTCTTTTTAGCAGGTTCACAAAATTCCACTGAATGGAAGAACCATAATTTACCCTGCTGATGAGTATTTGGGTGGTTGCCACCCTTTCACTACCACAAGGACTGCTCACTGAATGAGGTGTGTGTCACTGAAATGAAGACACTACTTCATGAATGTCCCAGGACAGCAGTAGCTGTCAAGAAAGAGGCATTAATTTATTTGTGATTCCAAATCAGTTCCAAGCCCCAAGCAGCATTACTGCTTACATTCACTGTCATCTCAATCAGCACAGATCTCAGTGTATTATGTGTCCGTCTGCACTCTTTCTAAAATAACCAGGCAATTACTTCCTCCTTCTATCCTTATTTTCCATGTCTACCACTGAAAAAGGAGCTAGTGCAACCCACAGATCAGCAATCTCTGCACACTGGGGATCTTGTTAGAAAAGTAGAATTGCAGGCCCCATTCCACAACTACTGAATCAGAACCTGCATTTCCTTAAAAGTCCTCGGAGAGTCAGCAGCACATTAAAGAACTGATTTAGGAGTGATTTCATGAATATACTGGCTTAAATTTGAGGGAGAAGAAAGGAAGAATGCCAAAGTGGTCAAGGGGCTGAAAACTCTATCACATAAGGAAAAGTCAAGGTTACCTGGGCTTTTGGAAAACAAAAGGGAAGCTGGGAAATAAAGAGATAGCACGGCATTCTGCTCGAAGGGCTTACTAAGGACTACTGGAAGGAAGTATAATTAAAACTTTCTCTGTAATTCCAAAGGCTGAGAACTAAAATTCTTGAGCAAGGGAACAGATTGAAACCATTCTAAGGAAGAATTCCTAGTAATTAGTTTTCAAAGCAGAAAAGACTGGTTCATAAAATAGAGATCTCCACAGTACCATGCCTGTACTAGCAGAAGTGAGACAACTCTCCGACAGGAATGCTTGAGGAGGGGTTATGGTACTATAAGAGATATTAACTGGAGGAGTTTTATGTCCTTTTAGGTCAATACTATTTCTTGGCAAAATTCACAAACAGGCTGGAACAGGCACCTGTCTTGGAGGGTTTGCTACAGGACGCTGCGAAAAAGTCATTGCCGTCATCATCGTCATCATCAAAGAGGCCAGAGGGTGCTGGGAGGTGTAAGCTTTTCCCTGAAGTGGGCTGCTTGGTCTTCTGGGGATCCATCAGTGATGGAGCAGAGGTTGCACCAAACACATCAGTGTCCCCTGAGGGTAGAGAAACAACACAACCTGGCTATAAGCTAGTGTAGTTAGGCCTCCTGACTATACAGAAAAAAAAACACTACTGCCCACCACGAACTTTCAGTTTCAGTTCATCCACAGAACCCAGAAACAACCCAATCACTTCCATCCTTTTATGCTACAGAGATCCCGTAATCAGTTACACAGTCACTCAAACACAAAAAGGTCCAGGGACACTGATTTCTAAGCAAATATGAGCTAACCCTGTAAATGAGCTCTTTCTGGAAGCTGTCCCATGCTTTCTGAAGTTCCTCATTACTCTCCAGCCTGCCCTCAGAAAATGGCAATTTTAAAAATAACAAAATGATTCTTACAGTTTTTAAAAAACAGACCCTACAATATGATACCTAAAAATACAGAAACTGCTCCTGCTGGGATTTTCTTTCCAGGTTTGGAGGATGAAGACACTAAAATGAGAAAGAATGAGATAACCATTTCAACAAAGTGAGCAACTTTCCTTATTAAGTGCATCTTCCTAAAGTATGTTCAACACAATACCTAGCTAATAAGAGACCTTTTAAAACTAGTTTTTCCTAAATCATTTTAAAATTCCTTAGTATCTTCTTTACCAACACCATGCCATGACTTTTTCTTGGTACTAATGCAAACTCAGCTCTGAGTCCCATGGAAAATCATTGTGACTCTAAGCAGACAAAAGCAGTGGTGTTGGCTGGAAAGGCCAAGGAAGATGCAGAGCACAATGTGATGGCAGGGGCAAGAGCAAGCAGGGCTCCTCCACAGTGCCTACTCTATCCATTATCATTTGTAAGAATGAAAAACAACAACAAAAAGGCAAAAAATCTGAGACATCAGTGAAAAAATGAAGACCATAACAGAAAAGAGGGAAACTATGCAAGTCACCGCTGCCAAAAAGTGGAGAAAAGGAACCATACAATAATCAAGGCAGCATCGTACCAAGTCCAAAAGCTGGCAGCTTGTGGCCTGGGAAGACTAAATTGCTTAAAATAACCAATTCCCAATTCCCAAGAACTCCCACAGACCTACAGGAAAAAAATGTTTAAATTTTTACATGTTTTATGTGTGCCTTTTAAAAAGTCCACAGCTGATTATAATGCACACTGGGCTGGGGAATTACTGATCCCCAGTTTATATATAAAATTTTAGAAATGTTTCTTTGAGTTAAATTGATTAAATTAAAATATCCTCAATACTGCTAGAGTCTTCTTCCTATTTGACTTTTTATGAATTCTCTAAGAGGTGAAATTGTGATATGAGTTTACAGATGGTGCTCTCTGTTTCTTCTAAGACATTAACTAGAATATGGCAAACACAACAATAGTTTCCTGCCTGCCAAAACAGCAAGGTTTGAACAATTTCAGGGGCTCCATCTCCTAGTGGGCCACAAACAGCTTTGGAATCTGTACACAGCAAGTCAGCCTCAGTCCAAGCTTACCTTCATTAACAGGTGCTTGAGCTGCCTGATTCCGAGGGGCTTCAGTGAAGAGGTCACTCTGGTAATAATATGGTATATGACACAGAATTCAAAAATGCAATGGAAAAGGTTGCTGTATTTAAGACTTTCTAAAAAAAAAGTACTTGTAAAAGTTAAAGATACTTGCTGTTCTGACAGAAAATCAATTCCAAAGTGAAGACTACAGCAAATCAGACCATAAATAAATTAGGTCCAGAAATTAAATACAAACATTGAAGAAGCCAACAGGTAAGGTAAGAAACAACTGCCTAATCAAGTAAATTGTTCACTGTTAACACTTTCACATCCTCTTTTCACCTTACAAAGGGCTCCAAGATACAGTATTTTCTCTTTGTGATTCTTCGTTCAAATTTCCCCAACTATAAAAGCAGAAGCAACTTCCAACTAAGAAGCCATTTTTTCGCTACTAAAAGAACAAAGCATATTCCTTCCACAACACAGCTATGGAGAGCTTCAGATTACCAAGGACTCACCTCCTCATCCTCATCATCAAAAAGTCCCTTCCCTCCACTGAACAGGCCACGCCTAGAGCCAAAAGGTGAGAAGTCTTCATCGGTCAGCTTAGGGGGTGTGAACAAGTTATCTTCTTCATCTAGCAAACAGAAAGAAATGTTTTGTGGCGAGAGTTAAAGATGAAGCTGGAACTAAAATTCCAGAGGACAGCCTTCACAACTTCTACAAAATTGGCACAAAGTTTATCTAACCAAATGTATTTCTTTTGAAGCAAATATATCATTAAATTGTAATTCAAGACCCAATCTACCAAAAATGTGGAGAAGGGGAACAAACTAAACAAAGAGATTTTTGGATTGACAGTCACAAGTGGGAATGTAATGGATATTACTATTTCATATGAAAGAGCCTGATATATTCTTTATTGAAAAAAATGCTAGAGACCCCTAGTTTTCATGCTTCTAGAGAATTCCAGGACAGCTGACAACTGCTATAAAACCTAATAATTCAAATCTTCACAGCATTTTTTTCCTCCACACCCATCTCTCCTCCCAGCACCCCAAAACATGCTTTTAAATGCTCTAAAAACAAAAATGAAGAGACAGACTCCATTTATCAAGTACTTAAAATGCGCTTCATGAACTACGTAAGTGATATTCCTGAGTTAAGAGCTACCTAAAAAAAAAAAAAAACAGAATTAGGTGACATCAAAGGAATGACGGAATGAGCACTCCCCTGAAGTTTCAACAATCTAAACAACTATAATTCAACAAAGGATTCCCTGCTCAACACACAGACACATCTGAGAAATCCATGCACTGAAACACCTAAACATGAACAAATGGGAGTGAACTATGGAGTTGGGAAGGGAGAAGAGTTGAGGGGAGCCAGAGACACCGTCTGAACCTGGCAGGCTGGAGCTCACTGTGGCACTCACCCTGGAGAGGGGAACAATCAGGTTGCCACTGGTACTCTAGCCATGCCAGCTGGGAAAAGCAGAGAGATATAGTGAGCATTCCTACAGGAGTGGTCAGTAGGAACTGAGGCTAGGCTGAGTTCAGTGACCTGAGCAGGGACAAAGTTAGAGATGTGGCAACAGCTGTCTGGCAATCAGTATTACAGACAAATAAATAAAGCCATGGAGTCTGGCTGCCTCTCCTCACTCTCCCAAAACCCTTCCCCTAACCCTTTCAGAGCTAGCAGCAGGCCCAGAAAAAGCTGTAGCAGTGAGTATCTGGTTGCAGAGAACATTATCTGCAAACCTGAAATCTGGTACTACAGAAAAATTTTTCCCTGAGTGACAGATGTCTTCTGCAACTAACCCCAGGGTGGGGTAGATACAAAGAGAAGGCCACTAAGGTCTGCCAGTCACCATCACTGGGAGAGCAAAGCAATAAGGGCAGCAGCCAGTCTCCTCTAGCTCACCCTACCCCCACATACCACAGCTGCCCTGCTGGCAGCAACTGGCTGCAGGGTACAGCACTGGTATCTCATGAATATGGAACACGATGGCCCTCCACATTCCCCTGAAGGGTTGGTCCCAGGACCAAGGCGATGTGAACACAGAGGAGATGCCCACCTTCCCAGGAAACACAGGACATTTTCTGCTGCCCTGCAGAGATCTGAGAAGCCAGGGTAGTGCAAGAGAGCTTAAAAAAAAACCAAAAACAAGAACCTTGAGATTCAATGCCACCTACTGGAAAAACAACAGAAAGGCTTCTTGCCCATCTACTAGAGAAATGCCACTCATATACATAGATGCCTAGACAGAGAAAGAATCCATCAAATACCATGAATAACTGAGGTAAAAGGCAGATCAGAAAGAAAATTTAAAATGTCCAGAAAAAAAATTAAAGATATTGAAATATGTGATTTAAGTGACAGGGAATTCAAGACTGCAGTTGAAAAAAAATTCAAAAAGTTACAAGAAAATCAGTCTTCCTCGCTGGTATGGCTCGGTGGATTGAGTGCTGGCCTGTGAACCGAAAGGTCACTGATCCATTCCCAGTCAGGGCACATGCCTGGGTTGTGGGCCAGGTCCCCATTTGGGGGCGTGAGAGAGGCAACCAATCAATCTCACACATCAATGTTTCTTTCCTTCTCTTTCTCCCTCCCTTCCCCTCACTCTAAAAATAAATAAAATCTTAAAAAAAAAAAAATTGATAGGCAGTTTAATGACCTCAGAAATGAAGTAAATAAACAAAATAAGTACTTTACAAAGGAGACTGAAACTTTTTAAAAGAACCAAATAGAAATTCTGGAGATGAAGAACTCAATAAGAAATAGAATATAAAGAATGAACTAGTGATCTTAGGAAATAGAGCTGACCAGATAGAGGAAAGAATTTGTGATAGCAAAGACATAGATGTAGAACTGATGCAGAGGGAAGAAGACAGAGACTTGAGCATAACAAAAAATGAAAGAACTCTATGAGAACTCTGACTCCATCAGGAAGAGCAATGTAAGTCATAGGTAGGTATACCAGAAGAAAAGAGGGAGAAGGGAACAAAGGAGAGCCTGTTCAAACAAATAGTTGATGAGAACGTCCCAAACCTATGGAAAGAGTTAGATCTTCAAATTCAAGAAGCAAACAGAATTAATTACCTCAATCCAAAAAGGCCTTCTCTAAAGCACTGTATTAAAACTGTAACCTTTAAAGAAAAGTCCATTACGTTATCATTGGATTCCTAAACAGATACCCAGGAGAGATTAGAATCAAACATTCAAACTACTGAAAGAGTGAAATTATCAGCCAAAAATCATATAGCCAGCAAAATTATCCTTTAGCTATGAAGGGGGCATAAAGACTTTCCCAGATATACAAAGGCTGAGGGAATTTACCACCAGAAGAACAGTGCAGGAAACACTCAAGGGGGTAAGTGTACCTGAAAGAAGAACAAAAGGTCACAAAACTACAAGTAAGATCACCAACAGGCAGAAAGAAGCAGGATATTATACTTTTAAAGAATAGGGTACTAACACTTAAATATCACATAAAAACTAAAGAAGGTAATAACATTAAAAAGAGAAAGAAGACAATAGTTACTGAAATTTGGAAATAAACTCACAGCATAAAAAGGGTAATTTATGACAACAAAAACATAAAAGGGGTGGGGGGTAAAGGTCTGATTTTACAAAGGGGGATGAAGATTAGATGCATTCAAAAGAAAAAGGACTACTGTATATATAAAACTTTAACATAAACCTAATGGTAACCACACACAAAAATATCAGCACTGAGACACGTAACTTAAAAAGAGAGAAAACAGAAGAAAATGGAATAGAATACCAAACAAGAACAACAGACAGAAACACAGAGGAAAATAACCAAGAGAGACACAAAACTACCAGAAAACAAAAGATAAAACGGATATAGGAAAGCCTCATACATATATCAATAATTACCCTACATGTAAATGGACTGAATTAACCAATAAAGAGGCACAGAGTAGTGGAATGAATCAGGAAGCAGAACCCAACCTTATACAGCGTTCAGAAGACACATTTAGGCTGCAAAGAAAAAGATAGACTCATAGTGAAAGGAAGGAAAATGACTCTCCAAACCAATGACGAGAGAAAAGCAGGTGTAGCCATACTTATATCTGACAAAAGAGACTGGAAGAAAGAAAAGGTAAAAAGAGACAAAGATGGATATTTTATACTGATAAAGGTGATATCAAGAAGACATTACATTATTCAATATTACAGGCACCCAATCAGGAAGCACTGAAATATATAACCAACTAACTACTAACAGAACTAAAAAGAGTAACTGACATAAACAATCATAGTAGGGGACCTAAATACCCCATCAACAGCTATAGATAGATCTTCCAAACATAAAAATCAATGAAAAAAAAATCAGCCCTAAGTGACACGTAAAACCAAAGGGACATATAAACATTTACGGAGCCTTTCATTCCAGAACACCAGATTATACATTCTTCTCTAGTGCACATGAAACATTCTCATATGCTGGACACAAAACCAGCCTCAACAAATGGTTGAAATTGTATCAAGCATATTCTCCAACCACAATACTTTAAAATTAAAAATTAACAGCAAAAAGAAAGAGGAAAAACCCACAAATATGTGGAGATTAAACAACATGCTACTAAAAAATGACTGGTCTTAGAAGAAATGAAAGATGAGGTCAAAATATACATAGAGAAAAATGAAAAGGGCAATACAACATATCAAAACTTCCAGGATACAGTGAAAGCAGCAATAGGTAAGTTTGTATCATTACAGGCCTATCTCAAGAAACAAGAGATATCCCAAATATACAACTTAACATTACATCTTAAAGAACGAGAAGAAGAAGAACAAAATGAAGCCAAAATCAGCAGAAGAAAGGAAATAATAAAAACTAGAGCAGAATTAAATAAAAGAGATCAAATAGACAAAAAATTAATGCAATAAAGAGCTTTTTTTAAAAAAAGATTAATAAAATGGCCAAAACTCTGGCTAGACTGAGAAAAAGAAAAGACTCAAACAAAATCAGATATGAAAGAACTTACCAGAGACATCAGATATAAAAAAAAAAATCATACAAGAATACTCTGAAAGGCTATATGCCACCATATTCAATGACCTAGAAGAAATGGACAAATTCCTAGAAACAGAGAGGTCTGTCCAGAAAAAGTCTAGACTTTGTTAATATAACAAGAATGGTTTGCACACATTGATGTACAACCTGGCAGCCAAGGAGGATGGACTGGAATGAGCATACATGAACAATGATGACTTCACTGTACTAGTCAGTGGGAGCAGTAGATGCCATTGAGTGTGCATGTGTACTTAGTGTGTGGCTGTCACATTCAAAATGACAGAGCAGAACAGCATCTAATCTGTATCAAATTTTGCGTTAAACTTGAATATTCCTCCATGGAAACTATTTGGGTGATTGAGAAGGCTGAAGCTATGGGCAAACGGTGACTGGCAGCTTCATCACAACAATGCTCCTGCTCATTCATCAGGTCTCCTACAGAGATTTTTGGTGAAATGTCAAATCATACAGGTGACTCAGCCCCACTACAGCCAAGATTTAGTGCCCTGTGACTTCCGGCTTTTCCCAAAACTAAAATATCATTTGTAAGGAGATTACAGACTCCCTAAGATTCAAAAAGATATGATGGG